GTACAGGAGAGACCATGCTGCCTGTTTTTTTTAGAGCACTAAACTGTTGCCACTGTTGAGTTTAGGCTAGGTTTAAGGTAAGGGGTCAGGCTGTAGAAATGACAAGTAAATGAATGGAAGTCAATGCAAAGTCTCCATGAGGATAGAAGAAGTAATGAGTGTGTGTGTGTGTGTGTGTGTGTGTGTGTGTGTGTGTGTGTGTGTGTGTTCTTGGGTCATTACATAAATATTTCACAGACCACTGCACAAATTTGAACGACACTTTTAGGAAATTATCACAGGATGTACATCTACAACTGTTTAACTTTTGAAGCTTATCCAATTCAAGATGGCCGCCACAGCTAATTCATTACTTTCTTCWAATTTTATAAATGTTGTGCTGAGGTGTAGCTGAGTCATCCGTAACACTCACTCTGAGCACCACTCTTTAAGCAAGATCTTTGCCTAAAACTTTGGCATTCATCGTTCAAGTCATAAGGGCTGAATATAACGCCATTAATTTACTTGTTTAATTTGTGCAGTTACAATGGCGTTTCCATAGAAATCTCAACCTTTTTCCCAATAAATGCGTTATGTCAACTCGCTTCGCACATTTGTGATAATTTCTAACTATGCAATGGTCTACTCTATGTGATCTGAGCATCTTGCAGTAATGCATGTGATTGCATTATGCATGKAGGTTTTCTTAAACAGAAAAATATTGAAACATTCTGATTTGTTGTTTCCACTAATCTCAATCTCAGCCCTGGTCTCTGTAACCTTCTTGATTGTTCCAGGTATCCGCCTGCTGGATGGTAAGGTCACTGATGCCATGGAGGCCACAGCCCTGACCTACAACATGCACCTGATCGACATCTACGTGTGCAGTTGGGGCCCACGAGACAACGGGGCTGAGATGGACGGGCCGCACCCCCTGACAGCWCAGGCCCTTCAGCTAGGAACTCACAAGGCAAGTTCACAGTGCAGGTCTGCAGCGCAGATTTAAAGCTGACGTCACGCTGTCAAGACTGGCAGGACAGAAATGTACCACGCATTTTTTTACAAAGATTTTATAGTAAAAGATTGATTCTTATTTGTTGCCAGTTTACAAAATACCCTTTTCAGGCACGTACATCATTGTACACTGCATGGAAAAAATAAGATTTTAATCACAAAGTAAACTTTTTTTATTTTGTTTCACTCAACCCAGAGGTTTAAGATTAATTTTAAAATTGCTGTTCTCTTAACAGAAATCATTTTATCATACGGGGGAAAAAATCCACCAGTCATAGACTATTGTTTGTTTTATCTCTAAAGTTGATTGCACACACAACCTGCCTGTGCAAAGGCAAAAATCTGATGTAATAATCTTTAATAAAACTGTTACACACAAACATTTCTCCTCTCAATAGCAATCTCTGGTGTGTTACCCATTTCAGCAGCTTTACTACATGTCTCGTTTTAAGTATTAAAAGTATATATAATTTTATTTTCTGGCCCATTATCTGACTACAGGGTCTGACACTAAATAAATATGATCCAAAMGTCAAACATACTAACTCAAAATACTTGTCACTATTAAATGTTTAGTGTTTCATTTGTTTTGTTTGTTTGTTTTAGGTTGTCATATTTTGAGCATGCCTTGTAATAAATATTTCATACACATGCAGCTTTGTGTTTCAAGCTGTAGATAAGAATAGACAACAGCCCTCCATTTACTTATATTGTACTAAAGTAAAGCGAAAATCTTGTTTGGACTTTGTGTAAAATGCAAATCTCATAAACCCATTTTCTTTTTACAACAGAGCATAAGGATTTTATCAGAAAATCAAACGAAAAGAAAATACAATGAATAAAAAGGTATTTTAGAATTTTATGGCATGAACACATATTTCAAAATTATTAGAACAGGACCATGTTTCCTACTGTAAAGTCTCCACTTTTTTCTTATAGTTGAGGAGACCAGTTGCTGGAGTTCTTGATGGGAATACTGTGTTGTTCTGTGAGATGAGGGCATGTAGCTGTTCAACAGTCCTGGGGTTTCTTTACCAGACTTTTTTGTTTCATCATGCACTAAATTAATCTAAAAAGGGAAATTAAAAGACAAACAAACAAACAACTAAAGTTCTATTCTGAAGCTGAAGACATTTTGCTTCCCATMCAGAAGACTTTCTCAGTTCAAAAATGCATGATGCAGCAAAGCATTTCAATCTTATATAGGTCTAGACTGCAGGCAGGCCAGTTCAGCACCTGGACTCTCCCACTACGAAGCCATGCTTCTGTAATGGATTCAGTTTGAACCCCCATGAAGAGCCAGGCTTCTGAGCTGCGCCCTGAGAACAAATGGGACGGTCCACTTTAGTAAGAACTAATGCACATGGTTTGAAAAAAAAAGATCTAATTTCAATTAATCTGACCCACAGAACAGTTTTTCACTTTGCTTCTGTCTTTTTGGGCGTCTCTGATGGGTAAACATSGGGGTGGCTGTGGTGTAGTGGCAGAGCAGCCGGCTTTGTTACCTGCAAGTCACAGGTTCGACTCCCCGCCATGCCCACATGCCGTTTGTGTCCTTGGGCAAAACTCCTCACCCCTAATGCCTCTGATGTGTGTCCCATCAGTGTATGAATGTCATTGGCACTGATTAGTCTCCATAGATGACTGTACATGTTAGCTTTGTAGAGACATAATAGAGTGCTGTATGAATGGGTAAATGAGGACRCAGATTGTAGTGTGAAGTGCTTTGAGTGTCCTGGATGGATAGAAAAGCGCTAAATAAGTACAGTCCATTTACCATTTAAACGAGGGTACAGATTGTATTATAAAATGCTTTGAGTGTCTATATACTGTAAGTATAGTCAATTTGCCATTTCCCATTTTTAAATGAGCTTTGGACAAAAATGTTCATATTTTGGGCTGAGAATACAGATGTTTTGAGAGGCAGATAAATGTCAAACGAGAAAAAAATTACTTTAAACAGAGGAGGCCTCGGATTTCAGGTCTTCAAAACTTAACAGTGCAGCATTGAGAATGAGACCCAGCCTGTTCCACTCTAATTCACTCCTTCATTCGTGTGACCAAAAYACCCCTCTGTGAGCYGGGCTAACAAAGACCCAAGTGACTCATAAATCAGATGTGTTGRATTTACCTAACCAGGTTATTATGCCAAGTGGTTCCCATCAGTGGAGTTAAGTAAATGGAAAGTTGCTTTGCATTTACTTTAGGTTAAATAAATCCAACACGTGTTTTTTGAATGCAYTGTGAGAAGTCTGCCTGTGAATCGATGTTACAGAACTGAATACAGTTTAAAAGCTTAGAACTCCACATTGCAGTTGAGAGTTGACATCTCTCTGAATGGGAGGTGACACATCTTATGTTTATTTTTAATGTATCATATCCTGGATGTCTGAGAAACGTACATCAACGCATCGAATACTGACTTTCAGCCTCATCCTCTGAGCTCAGAGACTTCTCCTCATTCTTGAAACCTTTGGTTGACATTATGAACTGTAGATGATGGGATATAAAGGCTTCTCAGTTTTCAATCAAGAAAATATTAATTGCACTATTTTAGACACATATTTTGCAGACTAGTGAAACTCTTCACATCTTTACTTCTTAGAAATTCAGCCTCTGTAAAATACTCTTTATACCCAGTCCTTTTACTTACAATCTGTCAAACAACCTACTTAGTAGCAAAAGGTTTTCCAGTTGTACCACTTATTTTTACAGCCTTTTGTCGCCCCGATCCCACTTTTTTGAGATGTATTACTGTCGTTTAAATAAAGCTTACCTTATTTTTATCCTAAAATTGAAAAAGATCTAAGTTTAAATATTTGATACAATGCTCCTCTGTGAATGAAATATGGGTTTTGTGAGATTTACACATCGTTGCATTCTGTATTTATTTACATTTCAGTGTCCCAACTGTTTTGGTTTTAGGATGGTGGTTTGCACACAAGTTGTGGGGCTGAAAGTCTCACCTGCTTCCCCCATGATGTCTCATGATCTCATAAAATGACCAATCGTGATTAAATATATTTGAAAAATGAATACAGTGAAGCCCTGCAAAGTTGAGTTTGACAATTCACAGACTTGGTTTTTCACAGATTTTTTCATGGAACCTAACTTCTAGTAGTTTCTGGTAATCCCTGTGATACTGCTGAAACTGGAAATACAGAACTGTAAAGAATGCAATTTTTTTTCTCATGATTTTTTGGTGAGTTTTCGAACGAAAATATTAAAAACAGAATAATTTACTAATTTTGTAACATAAATTTAGTTCCATAAAAAAACAACCTTTTCATTAAAGCATGTCCTTTGCCCACGCTCTACCTTCTGCCTTTTAACATTGTATTGTGTAGCTGCTAACTGTGTAGCTTTTGTGTGTTTTTGTTCTAACTGCATTAAGATATCACCCCAAACACGTTGTTGGTCTTTTCTGGACGGCATCCAGTAGTCACATTTTTTTCATGATTCACGGTTACTCTATGAACAAAACCCCTGTGAAAACTGGGGCTGTACTGTAATTGAACAGGCAAGAGTGGAGTAACAACTGCTGTATGTCAATCAACAGATGTTAACAAGTAAAAAAAAAAATGATGTCACTCATGTTGTTTTGGCTTCAGTTTCCACATTATATTAAATTTACTATGAATCTCTAACATTAAAACTATAATTAAAAACAAAAGAAAACACACAAAAGCCACAAAGTACTTTACTAAAAAAAAAACAAGTCTCTATATTTAGGATGCTCCTAGACGGCAGCTTTCCAAATAGATAAATGAATGGGTGAGTGGGTCGGTTGATTTTCTTTATGAAAGCCAGATTTTCTTTTCTCACTTGTTTGTCTCTTTGTGTTATTCAGGGCCGAGATGGAAAAGGCAGTATTTTTATGTGGGCGGCAGGTAATGGTGGGATGCAGCACGACCACTGCGGTGCAGACGGTTATGTTAACTCCATCTACAACATTGCTATTGGCGCCATCACTCAGACTGGGAAGCCAGCATACTTTGGTGAACCCTGCCCTGGAGTGATGGCTGTCACCCTGACAGGAGCCGGCGTGGGAGGATCCCTACCTTTGGTTAGTCTGTCTATATCTTTTAATATATAACTGCAGTGTTTATCATTAATAACCCTGTGTGTGTGTGTGTGTGTGTGTGTGTGTGAGTGCCTGTGTGAAACAGTAGCCTGACACTTTGGCTCCTTTGAGCGGTGAGAAGCCTGTTAAAGAGCAGCCACTGGTGTGATATTTATCGAGGCCCACCAAATGACCTAGGTGATTACTGGGCACACACACTCGAAGACATTCAGAAACAAGTGTTAATTGGAGGTAAAGCACAGTTGTAGTGGCTGAGAATGAGAGAGGAAGACACTGAAAGTGTTGCTGGCGGATTTAACACTGAGAAAGTATGAGAAAAATGCAGCGCCAACTCCGGGGCTGGAGAGAAACAGAAAGGCCAATTTTATCACAGTGATGACACCTCTGACTGCTGGGATTTTCGCTCGTTTTGACCCGTGCTTTATGAGAAAGACAGATTTTTTTGTTTGTTTGTTTTTCTTTCATCTTATGGTGACTATTAAGAAATTGTTTTTACTTGTTCCAGTGGGGAAGGGAAAGCTTCACACTGCCACTGCTTCACTATGAGAATACTGCTGTTGTTTACAGAGAATAGAAATGGAACTGGAAAATCTCACAGAACAAACAGAGGAGAGAACAAGGACATTTGAGCTCAGTCTAGAGTGGAAGTCCTAAAGYTAAAATGAGAGGCAGGACCACATGTGGTGCAGAGTGATGCAAATTTGATTCATCATTAAGACCCATATACTAACAAACTGTTGATGACTCAACAAAATACATTTGAAWGTGGTCAACACTGAACAAGTGGGCATTGATGTCTGTCCATCTGTTAGCAACTCATCTCACAAATCACTTGATGGATTTTATTGACACTCAGAACGTACTCATTAGGTGAACATAACAATGATCAGTGAGTGCCCAAACTAAAGTAATCATACTTGGTCCCACTTGGACGTTGAGAAAAACTGGTATTGGGACACCCCTAATTGAAAGGCAGTGGGTGATGTGTGTTCCTTCAAGGAATGCTAGGCCATTAATTTGTTTTCTGCATTTTAGATTCAGATGATCACCCTGCATTGCTACTATAGGTCCTGGTAAGGTGGATCAGTGAGTTGATGTCTTGCTCGGTTTGAGCAGGCAGTATATGCCAAACTTGCTGGCACCATTATATATATATA